GTTGAGCCATCCCTCCAGTACGGTTCCTTGCCCCGTGGAGGGCTTTTGCTTTTTGGTAGTTAACCTAGGTGTATTGTGATAATGCGCCCTTTTATTTTGGACTGGGTTTGTATTCAGGGCCGGATTATCCCAAAAATTTATTTCGGTTTTCCAGGCGCTTTTCATCGCACAGTACTTTCATACTATGGACACCAAGTCAGCAAAGCGTGTAATTTCGCGACGATTTACGGCGTTGAGGATTCCCTTGTCTATGCAATTATTGCAGAAGAGTGAAATTGTGTCTTCCTCGCGACAGTCCTTTATCCTATTCTTGACCAGGAGAAATCTGGCCCAGTAATGGTGTACTGTTTCTGCGGGCTCTTGCCTAATTTGGGATAGATCGCGTATGTTTGGGTGGGTGGGTGGAATTGAATCCGCATCCTCACCCAATCTAAGGCTCAGTGGCCTAGGAGTTTCTGAACTCGAAAGTTTGGATTCTTGGATGTTTTCCAGTAAATCTGGCCCGCTGCCTGATTCTGGGTTCAGGCTTTGAGTGACATCCTCCCCTCTGCGGGTATCCGGTTTGGAGGGATCGGGAATCCGAACGTAGCTAGTCCTTAAGATAGATGAAGTTTGCCGCATTGTTCTTCCACCACTGCAACATGCTGGGTGACCTGGGGAGAGTTAATTTCTCTTAGATCGGGTTTAGGTCCAATCTGATCGTAGTCTGTAGCGACTCCCAGGGCGGCGATATGATCCAAGAGCTCGTTCAGGGAAGAGATCTCCATTGGATCTAACTGCTCGATGAGTTCCGAGTTGATTTGAAGATTGCTTTCGATGACCCGAGAAGTCATCGTCGGCACAGCGGCCGAACAGGCGGTCATAAGAAAACCACCTAGCCGGAGAGTTTGGCCGATAGACAGAGCTCCCTCAGTGATAGTGCCGTCTTTAAAGATGGGACGAGACATCCTTCCTTGTAGCGACGGCACAACGGAACTCTCAGTGAAAGCACCAATGTCGGTGTCAAAACCGGCGGATCTCGGGTAGGGGGTCCCGAACTATGCGTCTAGGCCGGATGGTAACAGGAGGCAAGGGACACGAAGTTTTACCCAGGTTCGGGCCCTCTTGATGGAGGTAAAACCCTACGTCCTGCTTGATTAATATTGATGATATGGGTGTTACAAGAGTAGATCTACCACGAGATCAGAGAGGCTAAACCCTAGAAGGTAGCCTATGGTATGATTGTATGTTGTGATTGTTGTCCTATGGACTAAAACCCTTCGGTTTATATAGACACCGGAGAGGGTTAGGGTTACACAAGGTCGGTTACAAAGGAGGAGATATCCATATACGTATTGCCTAGCGAGCCTTCCACACCAAGTAGAGTCCCATCCGGACACGAGACGAAGTCTTCAATCTTGTATCTTCATAGTCTAACAGTCCGGCCAATGGAGATAGTTCGGCTGTCCGGAGACCCCCTAATCCAGGACTCCCACACTTAGGGTCATGCAATGCCAATTTAGGATCATGTGAAAATAAATCTAGTCAGTATCTGGTGCGTGGCCGTCCAAGTCAGCCCGTGTCTCTGCCTATTCTGTCCACATTTTTGGCTAATTTTAGAAGTCTCTGTCACGAATGAAAAGAAAACAAGGAGTAAATAGTACATTTCCATCTTGATAGTTGCATGGTTCGAAGAAGAAACGCCAAGTTTTGCATAAATAATACACAGAGGATTGAGAGAGGGTGGAACTGAACAAAAAAATTAGGAGGTGTCTATTCATAATAGTACTTAGCCATGCTAGCTTGTTAGCTTTATTTGCATCACTTGTTCATCATGTATTCTATCTTTGTTAAGCAACTGCTCTCTGTTTAGATCTCTTTATGTCTGAATCTGGTTAGGCACATTTTCTGTTTAGTTTTGTCTTATAATTATCTTCTGATGGCTGCATGCAGCTTTTCACCCTTCAGTAAAGAGTTCTTTATTTGATGTAGATCCTTGTCGCCCAGGAGTGTGGGAGGCTGTACAATTATGCAGTGCTGCTGGTGTGAAGGTTATTATCCTTTATGGTTTATTTTTCTTTGATCTTATATTCTTTCCATCCATTTCTACTTGAAATGTTCCTTCCATGGAATCTCAACTGATTGAGTTTGTAATACGAGGTTCAGATCATACAGTGTGCAAATATGTCATATGAGCCAAGGTTCAAACGCTTCTAGACGTGAATTTGATAAAATGGATCATCTTAGGTACTAATAGAAGTATTTACATCCAAAATTCCAATTTCTCCTTCATGTGGCCATGTTACAGATATTTGATTTAAAAAATCTTTACTAAACATGATCAGCCTATGTTACAAATATTTGATTAAAAAATTCTGTTTCAACATAATTTGGATTTTGTTATGGTCTGGTTCATTCTCACCGTTGTTTAATCTTTCAGTTTGGGGGTGTGTCTCTTCTGTATATTGATAACTATCTATTTCTAGTAGGGTGAGTGTCCTAAAGAATCAGAAGATTGCTGGGAAAAATGATGATGTGATACTGCCATGCTATTTCTACTAGCCTCTCTGCTGCTGCCTTATCACTGGTTCACCAGTCTCCATCCTCACCATGGTCTCTGTACTCAAGAAGGGAGAGCTCTACAAGTTCTAGTTGGTTCCTAAGTGACCCCTCACAGGAGAGGTTTTAGCCTGACCTGATGGAGCTGAGAGGTCTGTACGCAAGTTTAGCTAATTTCCTCTATTGATCTGTAGCAGCATACCTGATTTGTCACGGTAAAAGAGATAGGGCGGTCTGATTGTGCAACATGAACTCTACATATCTATAGCTCTTAGTTCTTGTACACTAACCATTTCCACAGGAAACCATTAATTAGAGATGTAAAACAAACGGCTTATAGCATTCTGTTTTCCAACTGTTTATATTTTTAGAACTCTATTATCAAAATTCTAATCCTGAGTAATGCTGCAACTGGTCAAAGGAAGAAGTTGAACCTGAAGAAGTGCAGGGAAGAATTACAGCTGTGTGTTGTCGGCTGGTTCAGGGGACGTGCAGGATGGGCACGGCCGCGCGGGTGCCGGGGCAGGCTGCACTAGTGATCTCACGGATGGATGCCATGCTGCGAGAGCAGGCTCCTGGGCGCCCGCTATATCGATGACAGATTCGACGCTGCGAGGGCAGGCTGCTGGGCGCCCGCTACTTTGATAACGGATTCCACGCTGTGAGCGGCAACAATCGGCGATGGCGATCGTGCAACGAGGCGACGGTGTTGGTGGGCAGCGTCCAGCGCGGTGGTGACGCAAGGAAGACAAAAGTCGAGGTCAAGGGCGAGGGAGCCGATTTGATTGAGTTTCCTTAGTTTGCAATCAGATCGCATGATTGTAGAAAACATGGGGCTGGTAGTTGGAATACTCCTCTACTGGTGGAGTACGGTCAGTCATTAAAAATTGCTAAGTCCACACCACCCCTTATTAGATTAATGATGGTCATTAGATTGAGATTTGTGGGACTAATCGTGTGGTGCTGATCGGGTGGTGTGGTGTTGTGGGGGCTAATTATTGGGTGCGCATAAGAAAGTTCTTGTTTCATCGTTTAATATTAGTGGATGGATGGAAGTGGAGAAGCTGGGTGGATGTTGATCAGAATTTATTTCAAAATGATACTTTTTTATACTCCTTCTGTCCCAAAATAAGTGTCTCAAGTTTAGTACAACTTTGTACCAGTGGCATACCCAGGGGTGTGCCATGGCACACCTAGATTTTTGGAAAACATTTTTTCACCATGTAAATATTAGCTTATTTTTAAGGCCCATGCAAGTTAACTGAAATATACTTCAATTTTTTTAAAGCGTGCACACCCCCCATTTTATTTCTAGGTCCGACAATGCTTTGTACTAAAGTTAATACAAAGTTGAGACACTTATTTTGGTACGAGGAAATACTAGATAATTTTATGAAATGTTGTGGCTGTATACATCACTGCCACAACATTTGTGAACTATATTAAAATTGTCAGAAATTATTCATAGATTGGTACAACTTCAAACAAATGTTTTGAAGTGCTTCTATTCCAGTGATTTTTTGTAAGAATGAATGAAATGTGCCATGTCTTCCCAGTTTATTTTCAAAGTATTTGTTGTGTGAGAAACTGAGAACCAGGCGTCTGGAGGACAGATGTGGAGACTGTTGTAATTTTGCAAGGACACACTGCTTTCAGGGGGCAAAACGCAAACATTACAAGAGAGCATATGTAAATAGATTAGCGAATCGATCCTGTCCATTCCATGCAGATATGACGCACCACATGGTTCTGTAGCATGGTATCATCTCATGGATGATATCACTGGATACTTGCCCCATGGCTCCGTGTTGCTGAGTACTCCCTCTGTAAACTAATATAAGAGCGTTTAGATAACTAAAATAGTGATCTAAATGCTCTTATATTAGTTTACGGAGGGAGTACTATGTTGCGAGCTCTCATCAAAAGTTGCACTGGCCGAGTGTTTTGGGGTTGCTGACTATTTTTGTGACAGCTCTCGGCAAACAACACACTCTATCAAGTGCTTGCTTTTACCGAGTGTGGTTCTCATAAAATAGGTGGTTTGCTGACATCCCATAAAATAGATCTTGGAAAAGACTATGACACCTGACAAACACAAAATTTTGATTAGTGTTTATTATAGTGAGTATTAGGAATAGAACAAGCTATATATGTTTGCTTTCAAGACTTTTGATTTAATTCAGCATTCCATTTAATGAGAAGTGAAAGTCATCTATTGAGGCCATGTATGTCGATGGACAACTAAATATCATGCTAAACACAAAGAAACATGCAGGCAGTCCTTTTATTAATCACAACATTAAAAGTAAGATACATTATTGTAGAGGTCCCATGATAAAGGATCAATACCATACTCTTCCTTTGTTCATTAAGACTGCCTTATTTTGTTTTGGGGATTAAGACTGCCTTAGACTAAGTGCTCCATATCATAACACTCCTTTCCTTATTTGACCAGACCAGCCTTACGCTGAGTGTTCTGGAGGTGGTGGCGCACTATAATCTGGAACGATGAAACCTACATATGAGATTGAGTTCCTCGTAAGTAATTAATTTCATTTATATAAGCGAGGAAACTATATCAAAATGCTAGTAATATATTTAATCATATTAACACACCTGCGCAATTAGTCCCTGGGTGCAATCCGTTGCCGCACCAATATGTAACATGAGCCCACTTGGCTAGACTGATCTTATGCAAATCCGCGTGCATGAATTTCTGGCATATAGCATGGATGTTTCTCGATTCTCTTACTATTTGGCAACATTTCCTATGGGGGTCAGGATGCTGATCACCGTAATTTTTGAATATGTACCTCTTGCAATACTCCATCACCTCATTTTTCTCTTTGGTGGCATGATCGTCTGCTCGTACATGATAGGAACAAGAAGTGAAGGCCAGTAAAGCTAGGAGGCAGAACACCCACATTACTTTAGAAATAGCCATCTTTCTTGTGGAAGATGTAAACACTAGGTAGGTGTGTTGATCAATCTTTGGTTATGCAAAACTTCTACACCACATGGTTTTTTATATGGGCTGTGGTGGTGAGCACACTTAAATACAAGATCTCTCCAACCAAAAAAATCTACATGTAGATTTCATTTGTTGGATAAGATCTTAAATCTTATGGATGGCCTTGCGATATTTGATAACCATATTGAATGCTCCCAGGCCAAAAAAAGTGCTAAAATTGATTTTCTAAGATTGGTATATTTATTAAAGCATTAATAAGACTAACCATATCATGCTAGGATATGCCCTCATTTTAAATAGAGATAAGTTTATTGCATATTTGCATTTAGTGTTGCCCGATTACATGTGTAATTAATCTAGTGGGTGCACTACATAGATATCCAGATTTACTATTTAGCTATAGTTTTTATTAGATGCCCCGTTACGTCATTGTCGTAGAGGCCAACTGGAAGCTAAGCAAACTATTTGAAGGTTTTTTGCTCAACTCTCTGGGAACGAATATGGTCGCATTGCGTTTCTATTTGCCTTGATGATGATCATGGCCCATATATAGACTTCTTTGGGGACAGATAGATCGTTTGCTTGAGCATGTGAATGGACTCCAAGATTTCTTTTATGCTCCGACCATTCCTCATCCGTAATTACGGGACAACAACAATTAAGAAATTAGGTGAACCATTTGAAGAAAGTTTCTGGTGAATTGCCTCGAAGTAATTATATTCATATTGCATTTGTAATTGCCCCATCCCACGTGCCCCACCTCACCTCACCCTCCCCCTCTCTCTCTCCCAGCCCTCACCTCACCCGCGCCGCCGCCCCCACCCCGACCCACTGCCCCCGCTGCTGCCCCAACCCCCCGGCCCCGCCGCCCCGAGCTCCGCCCCGCCCCATCACCGCCTC